CCCCAAAACCCCAAAACCCCAAAACCCCGAAGTACGATTTGACAACTGAATTTATCCAGAGTATTTAAATATTGCTAATACAGGCATGTGAATGAACAAGTCACTTTGGTCCCCACTCCTTCCTTGGACTCCAGGCATATCTTGCCACCCAACTTCTCGCAGAGCCTCTTACAGATGGTAAGGCCAAGCCCAGTCCCAGTCTTGTTTCTGTTGTGGTTGGAACTGGTCTTGCCGAACAAGGTGAACAGAGAGGGCATGTCTTTTTTAGGAATGCCGATGCCTGTGTCAGTGACAGTCAGCTCTATCTTCAGTTCTTTAGTCAGGCTGGACATCATTGGCTCGTCTGCTTGCTTAGGTTGGATCATTCCACTTCCCTGATGGACGGAAATATTTTTGTCTAATTGGGCCCCAAGAATAGATGAATTAGGCGAAAAATTGTATTTATCTGTCACTAGAAGAAGATGGCAAACCGGAGCTTCTTCGTTCAATTCTGAGCCGAAAATTTGGTCAATATCGTCTAAAAATAAGATAACATTTACTCTCTTCAATCGCTTGGGGGCTAGGCTTTCTGACTTCATGGATCTTCAAGTCTATGTTGATGAATCCTCGGTCTGTAAACTTAAGTGAGTTTGACACCAGGTTCAGCAGGATTTGTTTTAGTCTGTTTTTGTCAGACTTAATTTCAAGGTTTATAAATGCATCTTGCATGCTAAATTTCAAGTCGATTCTCTTCATACGAGTCTGCATCTCGAAGATTGAGTTTACTTCATCAAAGAGCTGTTTGAAAGTGAACTTTATTTCCTGGATTTCGAATACTCCAGCTTCTATCTTGGAGAAATCTAAGATATCTTCGACAAGGCCTTTCAAGATATCGCATGAAGAAGAGGCAATCTGGTGATATTTAGCCCAAGCTTCGTTGATGTAGGCTTTCATCAAGTGCAGAGACAGCGACATCGCATTCAGAGGAGTCCTGAACTCGTGCGATACATTGGAAAGCATCTGTCGTTGATAGTTGCTTTGAGCCTTTGCTTCTTCTAAATGAGAAATCTGGGTGGTATCTATGAACATTTGAAGAAAGGTTGCACCTCTGTCAAGATCATTTACAACATCAATTTTGGAAGTCTTGATAACGAAGTCTTTCTTCAAATGATCTGCATCTTGGTGTAAGTGTCTCCTCTCATAAGAAATGGATACTTTGGTACTTCTCTCATTGTCTGGCTCATTATGGCAAAGTTCTCTTTCTTGCTGAAGAAAATCTCACAAAGAAATGTGTTCACAATCTCCAACTTGAACATCTGGGTCACCCCCTTTACCTTCTTCGACTCTCTGCTTTTGTATCTTGACCATGAAGTTGTTCAAGATACTGCCAGTAAACATTTGAGAGTCTTCTTGTATCAGGTCGTCTGCAGCTGACCTCTTATAAATTTTCTTGAGTGTCTCATCTATTTCCTGTTTTACCTTAACCAAATCTCCATTATCTCTTTGGATGTCGATGAAAGAGGAAATATCAAATGTCTGTTTGATCTTCTTGTTTATAAACTTCAAGTCATCTCCTTTCTCATTCATGATGGTGACTCCTTCAGGAAGCCCTTCCAAGATCTTCTTCAGCTGACAAGAAGCTTGTTTGGCTTTATGGGTTGCCAAGAACTCCTGTTTGAAGTTTCTCGAAATCAGGAAAGCATTAAAGCCAAATATAGCCACCGTGAGACACAAAGCATACAAAACTGTAGCAGGAATGGTATCATAATAAGTTCTTAGCAAAGCATACAGGTTGACATATATTATAAGTATTGCGACTGAAGAGATCCTCCAGTCTGATACCAAACAAGTCGATAGCAAGAAGGAAGCCGAAATATGAAATAGGAATCCTTCATATAGCCTATATTAAGGTGAGACAAACTAAACGAGGCTGCTGGAAAATGACTGATTCTAAGTTAAAAAGTCGATAATACACTTTGGCACACAAAGTTTTGATAAAGTTTGTCAAATTTAGCTAATATAGCCCAACTAAATTTATGGAAGAAAGCATCAGATCTGAGGGGAAAAATAATGGAATATCAATGCTTATATAGAAAGCTACTTACCTGAATTGAGTGAACTGCAGGTTTGCTTGAGTCATTACAAGGCCGATCAGCAAAATATAGAAAGTAGCTCCGTATCTCACTATAAACTTGTATTTATCTATAAAATATTCAAGAATCAAAAGTAAGACTCCTCCTAATATGGGAGAAAGTTTTTCTGGCCAAGCCATATGTTCCTGTTGGATTTGGAAGAGGAGAGATATGATGCAAATTAGAATCTTCATGATAAATAAAACAAACTTCCAATTAGTCTTTATAGTCTTGCATCTATGATCCTGGTACATCTCCTCAATAGCAGGATCTCCAAAGTCAACATCCTCAAAAACCCATTTGCTCTTAAACTCCTTCACAACCCAATTATCCAGCACAACTCCCTTCCCATAATCCAAGATAAACTTCCTCTCCTTCCTCTCCTTCCTCTTCCCTTCATCACCCCTATCCAACATTTCTACTATAATTTCAAATATTATAGCCCATCTCGGGGTTTTGGGGTTTTGGGGTTTTGGGG